TTTTTTTTGAGACAGAGTCTTACTTTATCGCCTGCAGTAGAGCACTGGGACATCATAGCTCAACCTCAAATTCTTGGGCTCGAGAGATTCTCTTGCCTCACCCTCCCGAGTAGCTGGGACTACAGGCGCCCACCACAATGCCCAGCTGTTTTCTCATTGCAGTTGTCATTTTTGTAAAGCTGGCCTGGGCAGGGCTCAAAGCCACCAGCCTCGGTGTATGTGGCTGGAGCCATAACCACTGTGCCACAGGCGCCACACCATTTTCTGAGTACTATTGTCTGGAGTAGTTGCTTGACTAGAGATGTGGCTGACTGTCAGATAGTAGTAACTCCTTTTTAGAAGATGTCCAAGTCTCTGCAATTCTTCCCTCTGCTGATTTCTCTGCATTGAGGGTCATAGCCTGTCATCTTGTTTTTCCCATCGGAGATTTTCTTTGCTGCATGTAGTAAGATTATTACCATTTTGTTTGTGTAGAAATGAGAACAAAGTCTTTGCCTTCTAATTTTACTCCTTTCTTTATATTATTGGTTATGTTTTTGGTTGCTCTTGACTTACAATGTGATTCTTCCTTGGGTTCTCATCCAGCAGGTATCATTTTTGACTTGGCACAGCTCAAACCTCAAACTTTTAAAGTTTTGAAGCAGCTAGGTTGCATAGATGATCAATAAATCAATCACTGTGGGCAATCACTTGTTGGTTATAAGGTGATTGCCCTACTTTACCCATAGTGATTCTTCAATCTGATTAAAATGCAGTTTCTTCTAGTTTTGCTGAGTCCTCCAGATATATAAATACATAAGCAATGAGAGAAGTCTGTGTTGTTTTATGACTATCCTTCACCTTTTTAACTACCTATTTCAGCATTTCTGTACTCTTCATCCTATAATTCAAATTTTCATGCCCTTTGCCATAGTGATTTTTATTTAGTGCATATTCCAACATCTTATTTCTGTAAGAATGTATTATGTTTTCTGCTAACTGGTTGGTGAGGTCTGGTCCTGCTGTGAAGCATTTTCTACATCTCAAATTAGCTCCCATGCACGCTATAAATCAAGCTGTGATGGTGGGAGAACATGGGAGATGTGTTGGTTCATTCTCAATTGTTTTCTAGGCAAGGGGAGCTGGGATAGTGGGTGTGGAATTGTTATCTTAGACAACAAAGACAGAGACATTCAACTTTGCTACTGTTCTGGCAGCAGGAGCCTTTTCGACTATATTTTAAGGCAAATTAAAAATGAGATCTGCATGCAGAGCTCTTTGCCCAGGGCAGTGTGCCACCAGTTTTGTGTGGCTCTTGGCTTATGGCAGGTTGTCTTCCTTCCATTGGCCATCTCCATGGTGGCCCCACCGATGCAGAGGGCAGCTGCCACTTGCAGTTGCTTTGGCTCTCACTAGCTAATTAGAGTTTTGCTAGCATTTTCACTCTGCCATTGCTACGCATTTTGACTCTCCATGATGAGAATCTCCATGATGACGGCCACATAGACTCCCTGCTTCAGTGGTCCATGCTGTCGCATTAGAGAAGCAATACTCATTTTGGTTTTAATTGAATTTGTAGCCTATGACTTTTGATTCCTTTAGCCTCCCTCATTTTAATACCTCGCTTTTTGCAGAACATGAAGTTTTTAGAAGTGTATCATAGTTAATCCTCATTTGTGGACTTTTTATTTACAAATTTGCCTACTCAGTAACATTTATTTGTAATCCCCAAATCAGTACTTGTGGTGCTTTCAAGGTCATTCATGGACACGTGCATGTGTAGAGTGGCAGAAAGTTTGAGTTGGCAGAAGTGCACATTCCCAGCTAAAGTTTAAGAAGGTGATATTCTGCCTTCTTGTTTCCACTCTGGTGGACACTTTTTGTGTTCTGTTTGTGCCACATTTTTCACATTTTTGTGGGGTTTTTATTGGCAATTTTCTGTTTAAAATGGCCCTCAAATGCAGTGCTGGAGTCCTGTCTGGTGTTTCTATGTGTAAGACTGTGTCTTATGGAGAAAATGTGTCTGTTAGACAAGCTTCATTTAGACATGAGTGATAGTGCTCTGGGCTGTGAGTTCAATGTCAGTAAATCAACAATATATATTAAATAGGGTGTCTTTAAACAGAAACACATAAAACAAGGTTATGTATTGATTGGTTGATGAAAATGTGACCAGAGGCTCACAGGAATCTAACCCTGAATTCTCTTAGGAGCAGTGGTTCAGTATTTGCTAATTCAGTGTTTGAGGTGACTTTATAGAACATAACTTCCATGAATAATGAGATTCGACTTTGTCTACATTTCATCATGGCAAAGAAGTCTAAGCTGAAATAATTTTTTCTTATATAAGAAAATAGAGCAAATGGATAAGTCCTTTGCCATGAAGTCATGGAGACGTTCTGCTTGCCTTTTTAACGACTACTTTTCTCCTTAGGTGTAACTAGCATGGTCAATGCAGGCGCCATGAGTGGCTCTGGAAACCTGATGGATTTCCTCGATGAGCCGTTCCCTGATGTGGGGACGTATGAAGACTTCCACACCATTGACTGGCTAAGGGAAAAGTCACGGGACACCGACAGACACAGGAAGGTAGGTGGTATTCTGAGAGGACACACTGAAGGGTATCCCTGCAGATTGCTGCACCATTCTTTCATTCAGAAGTTGCTGAACTGCAGCTTAGGTTCCCATGTCACGTACGGGGTGAGGCTCTGAGGAAGGGAAGGGCTGATGGAAGAGGCAGAGATATGGGCATATCAGTATGATAAGAGCCATTTGGGGTGGGAGGGAGGCTGTGTCTTATGGAGGGAGTATGGTGTGGAGGGCAAGGAGTGGACCCTGGGGTGCCATTTCTGGACCCTGTTTTCTCATACTTAAGGATGGAGGTGATTATACCTAAAGATTAAATGAGATTATATATAGATGAAAGCACACGTTACACTGCCTGGTGTCTAGTGGGCAATTCCTATATATGTATATATATGTCACAATAATTTGTCAAGTGCTTTGGGATCATTTAGGAGGACAGTTAGAAAAGGATTTTTCAGAGAGGGTGACATTTCAGTTGGGTCTTGAAGAATGACTGCAATCTTGCTAGGCAGGGAAAGGGGAAGGGATTCTAAAATCAGGAGTGGTCCTTTTTTAAAGTCACAAAGCATAGAAGAATGTGGCTCATTTGGGCCACTTGAGGACTGCTGGCTCTGGTGGAGGATCCATAGAAGGGGAGGGACAAGGACGGACAGCGAGGCTGCATGAGCAGTGACCAGGTCAGCCATGGAGAAGAGTTCTTAGTTTGTGTTGAAGGCCACAGAATACAATAAAGATGCATTGCCAAGGGAGGAGCAGGAAGCTGGCAGGTGAGTTCAGCAGAAAGAGGAGGAGGGCTGCCCCAAGGCAGGGAAGTACAGGTGGGAAAGGTCAGGGTAGTCAGGGGGTGAGGAGGGGTAAGAAGGGTGGTCAGGGGTTGAGGAGGGGTAAGAAGGGGAATTAGGAGAGGAGCATGTCTGGTGGCTGGAGAAAACTCTGTACTTCAAGGAGAGGTAAGGGCTGTGGTGCAGGATGAGACCCCTGGCATGTGTGGATGTTGAAGCTCTAGAAGTGACTAGGTAGCCCGGGTACTCAGAGGGAGAGTGAGAAGCAGCCATGGTCCTGGCTATGCCAAGACCTAACAGGTTTGGGGCAAGCAGAGGGGGAACCAGTGGCAGACACTGTGGAGAAGCAGGCAGATGAGGACCAGCCAAGAGTATCCCCAGGAAAAGGATGGGAGAGGGTTGTGGAGAGACTGCTCAAAGGTCACCTTGCCCGAGGAGGTAAGCCAACCATTCGAGGGCTGTCAGTGACCTCGGAAGAGCTGCTCCAGAGGAAGACAAGGAGTGCTAAGGAGAGTGTGACTGTATCCTGTCATTTCCCAAAGGGTGGTGGGAAGGAGGAAGAGAGATGTGTAGGGAGTGAGGTTCAGGGCCATGGGGATCTGCACTCCAGGGCAGGGCTCAGCCGACTATGGCCCTGGGGCAAAGCCGGCTGATACCACCTTTTGTAAATAAAGTTTTATTGGAACTCAGCCATGCCCATTCATTTACATAATCTTTATGGCTCATTTTGTGTTCTAGTGGCAGAGCTGAATAGTTGCAGCAGAGACCATTTGGCCTGCAAAGCTCAAAATATTTACTTTTACAGAAAACATTTTCTGACCTCTGCTCTAAAGGGCTGTGAGGGGAATGGTGATCTTAGGGGAGTGTGGGATTCTGTTAGCACCAGGAACAGTGTGTGTAGATATGTCTATCTGCTGTGGTAAACATGACCTGTGCTAGCTAATCCTGCTTAAATTTCACCTGGAATACAAAAGTAAGAGATGAAGTCTTTGTTAAAGAGGCTTTTTAATGAACAGACCTAACAATGTAAGTTAGGTAGAAACACTTGTTCAACATGGTGACACCAAACCAATGTCCCCCTTCAATGGCTATTAAATAATCGAAGATCAAATCACATTTATAGCATGATTTCTAATTTAGTGAATTTTTTGTGCTCTATTTTTTGGGGGCTATACGGCATCTTTACTACTCTCTGAACTAGAAAGTCCATTTTATGATTTTGGTACATTACTAAAAGAATAATGTGACTGGGAATTTAGTGGCTTGATTACATTTATTCTATTCTATTCTGTTTATTTTTTTTTGAGATAGAGTCTCACTGTGTCACCCTGGGTAGAGTGTCATGGTGTCACAGCTCACAGCAATCTCAAACTCTTGGGCTTAAGTGATTCTCTTACCTCAGCCTCCGAAATAGCTGAGACTACAGGCGCCTGCTACAATGCTCAGCTATTTTTTGTTGCAGTTGTCATTGTTGTTTAGATGGCCTGGGTCAGGTTCGAACCTGCCACCCTCAGTGTATGTGGCTGGTGCCCTACCCACTGAGCTACAGGCACTGCCCATTTTATTTTTTCGATTACCCTGTTTTCCAAGGAGACAGTTTTGGGGAAAGAAGCATGAATTGGAAAATGTGTTCGATGAGCTACTATGTCTGTTTGTTTCTAGATAACCAGCAAAAGCAAGGAGTCCGTGTGGGAGTTCATCAAGAGTTTGCTGGATGCCTGGTCAGGATGGGTGGTGATGCTGCTCATTGGACTGCTGGCAGGTACATAGATGGGCATGCAGCGCTCCTGGGAAAAGCTGGAGTTGCTGAAACCACAAAACACTAAACCTTTGGGATGATATTTGGAATATGGAGTGTTTCTCTTTTACCCCCATGCAAGGGATTTATTGCTTGAAATATTTAAGAGCAAAATACACTACCATGTCTTTAACTTAGACTCTGTCCTCAATAAGGCACACCCAAGGCATGAGTCCAGGCGCTGGCTTCTGGAAAGCTGTAATTATAGAGCTGGTCAGCCCTCCCCATGTGGTATGAAGTTTTATTACCTCACTGGATTTTACTGAAAGTATACATTTTATATTCTGCTATACTTAGTTATGTGGACAGCAACAAAAGAGGGGACCATTTTGATCTCTAATAACAAAACAATGTATGAGATTGCCTTTTACTACTACTGGTAGTCCCTGGGATGAATTGTAAACATCCTGTGACACTCTGAAGTGGGCTCAGGGGTCTACACTGTAGGTGCCAGTCCCTACATTGTGCTGACACTCAGGGACTCTGCACTTCTTGCTTTTTATAGTGCCAATACTGTGTTTTTGAGCAGTAGATGTTTCCAGAGTAAATGGATGAGTATCTAGTGGTGAACCTGTTTTTTTAATATGAAACACACTAGGTCTTAGTGGAAAATGTTTCCTGAAACTTATTTCCTTTTAGGAAATTACGAAGGTGAATATCTAAGAATAAAAAATTTGAGCACATTGAAGAGAGCCCCTACATAACAACATAACAGTTATGATGAGAGACTTGATTATGGAATCGACTATAACACAGGCAGAATACATATAAGTGTTCTGAGAAAGAACACTAATGTAACATAGATAGAATTTTGTGATTACAGGGGATTTCAATTTCCAGATGATGTGACATTTATTCTGTAGAGAACTGTAAGAGGGACTTGGGTTACCAGGGAAGAAATCCGTCTGCCTCGCTTATGTCAGCATCTCAAAAGAGCTTGGAGGGAGAGTCCTTTCCTCTTGTCACAGCAGCTGTCCACCCATTTCTCTATTTCTGTCCTTCCTCCCCAAGTGGCATTTTCCAGCATATACTGGCAGCAACCAGTGCAGGGAATTAGACTTTGTTGACACATGGTGTTCGGTCACCAATTTTGCTTGACTGGTTCTATGAAGACCTTTGAAGGTGGGCAGGGTGGGGGTTTGCTTTGAATTTCAATATCCTCATTTAGAACAGATTATAAAACTTTACAGTGTATCATTAGGAAGGCATGAATAGGGTGATAGTGAAAATGAAGGGGGCTCATGGGTTCTTTTGTTCTGGGTACACTTTAAAGGGAAATGCAGCAATCTGTGCCCTATCCACTTCCCCCACCCTCTCTGGACTAACCGTGGGGAGGCCTTGGGGGCTCTCATTGGCACCCTGGGCCTTGTGTTCTCCTCACTCATGGAGAGGCCCCTTGGTAGCTCCTCCGGAGGGCATTTATCATGAGTTCCCACTAGATGTCGCTGTTGGATCACAGAACAAAGCTTCATCCAAGCAGAACAAATGTCTAGTTTCCACTAGATGTCGCTGTTGGATCACAGAACAAAGCTTCAAGCCGAATAAATGTCTAGTTCCCACTAGATGTCGCTGTTGGACCACAGACCAAAGCTTCAAGCTTCTGGCAGAACCAGAGTCAACCAGGAAGATTGTGGGAATATGGGACTGTGAACGAACAGATAATGATGGGATTTGGGGTAATCATTGCATCTTGCCCTGGATATCTGCAAGAGTCCTCCCTCACCTTCTTCAGCTCTTTGTTCAAACGTCATCTAATATTTGAGGCATTCCTTAACCACCTTCTCTAAAATTACATCTCTTCTTATTATGTTAAGTCAAATAAGCCAGACACAGAAAGACAAATACCACATGATCTCGCTGATATGTGGAGTATAAAACAGCTGATCTTATAGAGAGGTGACTAGCTGGCTGGGAGGGCTTGGGAAGGCAGGGGGAAAGGAAAGATGCTGATCAAAACATACAAGTTTCAGTTAGACTGGAGGGATAAGTTTTAGTGAGTGATTGTATGGTGATTGCAGTTAATAATCATGTATATTTCTAAATTGCTAAAATAGATTTTTAATGTTCTCATCACAGAGAACATTAAAGTTGTTGAGGTGATGTGTTAATTAGTTTGATTAAATCTTTTTTTTTTTTTTTTTTGAGACGGAGCCTCAAGCTTTCCTCCTGGGTAGAGTGCCATGGCATCACGCTCACAGCAACCTCCAACTCCTGGGCTCAAGCGAGTCTCCGGCCTCAGCCTCCCAAGTAGCTGGGACTATAGGCGCCCACCACAGCGCCTGGCCATTTTTTTGTTGCAGCCATCATTGTTGTTTGGCGGGCCTGGGCTGGGGATTCAAACCCGCCACCTTAGGTGTATGTGGCTGTCGCCTTAGCCGCTTGAGCCACAGGCGCCGAGCCGATTAAATCTTTTTGTAATGTATACATAGATCAAAACATGACATTGTACCCCATAAATGGACATGATTATTATTTGTCAATTTCAGAAAGTAAAAAGAGATCAAGACAATTAGCCCTCTGCCTTTATTTTTCCTATTGAAATTTCTATATTCAAAATTACCAGATCCTGTGGAAAGAGCTCATGAAATGCTAAATATTGCTGTTCTTGTGTGCTGCTACCAGGGGGCAGTGTTTCCAAAGCTGGCTTTCCGCAGGCTAGCACCGGGCTGAAGCAGGCCTTCTGAATCTAGAGAAAATACTGTGAGCATATGTGATTTTTTTCATTGGGTTTTAGCTTCCAATTTTAAATAGGAAATGGTTTTCACCATTCTATAAGATATATGTACTTCAGAACATCATGTTGCACATGATAAAAGCATACGCTGTTATCTGTCAATTTAAAAAAGTAAACAAACCAGGAATTGTTGTTTGTAATTATTTCGCTATTTAGTTGCCTTTAAAATTAAATTAAAATTTTTTGAAGTATAATTCACATACCATACAGTTAACTCATTTAAAATGTATAATTCAGTGGTTTTTAGTGTATTCATAGAGTTGTGCAGCCATCACCACTATCAATTTTTTTTTTTCCAGACAGTCTCACTATGGTGCCCTCAGTAGAGAGCCATGGTGTCACAGCTCACAGCAACCTCAAATTCTTGGGCTTAAGCGATTCTCTTACCTCAGCCTCCTAAGTAGCTGAGCTACAGGCACCTGCTACAATGCCCGGCTATTTTTTTATTTTGTTGTTGCAGCTGTCATTGTTGTTTTAGCTGGCCCAGGCTGGGTTTGAACCTGACAGCCTTGGTATATGTGGCTGGTGCCCTACCCACTGAGCTATGGGTGCCACCCCCTATTACCAATTTTAGAATAATGTTACTGCCTCCACCAAAAAACCTCTGTACCTTTCAGCTATCAAGCCCCAGCTCCCGCCCAGCCCCCACCCAGCCCTAGGCCACCATTTACCTGTTTTCTGTGTCTATAGATTCACCTATTCTGGGCATTTCATGTAAATGGAATCTTACAATGTGTGGTCTTTTGTGATTAACTTATTTCATTCAGCGTATTTTCAAAGTTCACCTGTGATGTAGCATATATTAGCACCTCTTTTTTGTTTGTTTGTTTGTTTGAGACAGAGTCTAACTATGCCACCCTTGGTAGAGTGCCATGGCGTCACAGCTTACAGCAACCTCAAACTCTTGGGCTTAGGGGATTCTCTTGCCTCAGCCTCCCAAGTAGCTGGGACTACAGGCGCCCACCACAACCCCCAGCTATTTTTTGGCTGCAGTTGTCATTGTTGCTTAGTTGGCCTGGGCCAGGTTTGAACTTGCCAGCCTAGGTGTATGTGGCCGACATCGTAACCACCGAGCTATGGGCACCAAGCCCTCATTCCTTTTTTATTGCCAAATACCATTTCATTTTTTTGAACAGACCACATTTTGTTTATCCAATTATCTGTTGATGTATATTTGGGTTGTTGTTACTTTTTGGTTATTTTGAATAATGCTGCTGTGAACATTTGTGTACAAGTCTTCATGTGGATGTATGCCTTCCTTTCTCTTGGGGGTATATATGCCTAGGAGTGGAATTGCTTGGTCAAATAGTAACTTTGTGGTTAATTTTTTTTTTTTTTTGAGACAGAGCCTCAAGCTGTCCCCCTGGGTAGAGGGCCGTGGCATTACAGCTCACAGCAACCTCCAACTCCTGGGCTCAAGCGAGTCTCCTGCCTCCGCCTCCCAAGTAGCTGGGACTACAGGTGCCCGCCACAATGCCCGGCTATTTTTTGGTTGCAGCCGTCATTGTTGTTTGGCGGGTCCGGGCTGGGGATTTGAACCCGCCACCTTAGGTGTACGTGGCTGGTGCCTTAGCTGGTTGAGCTATAGGCGCTGAGCCTGTGTTTAATTTTTTGAGGAACTACTATTAGACTGTTTTCTGAGGTGCCTGCACCTTTGTAATGGACTATATATTTTCTTGCTAGCATTTACCACCTTTTAGCAGAGCCTCGAATTTGCTTATTTGTCCAGTGTCTTTCTCATAGCCATAAACTACGATTGGAAAAAGGCAGGGACTTGAGTTTGCTTTGCTCACTGCTGTATCCCCAGGGCGTGGACTAGTAACTGGCATGTAGTAAGTATGTGCTAAATAAATATCCCATGAATGAATGAGTAGACCTGAGTTTTCTGGTTTTTCAGTCATCTATTTATTGCCCTCATTCATTCAATGGGATTTATAGCTCCAAATCTGTACTTGACACAAATAAAACAATGAACAAGACAGATAGCGTCCTTGCCCACTGAGAGTGGACACAGGATCTGGATGCCTGGCCTTACCTCCACTGTGGCACAAAAACTATTCAATGAAAGATTTTACCCTACCACTTCTACAGCAGTGGAAGTACAAATGTATATATCTAGCAAATCATGATGTTAGAATACGAGAGGTATGGTGTTGGGGAAAGACAGGAAGTCACAGGAAAGTCTGGGAAGTACACCTAACCCAGACTTAGGAAATCAGGGAAGGCTTCCCAAAGGAGGTGATGTAAATACTGAAACCTGGAAGATAAGTAGGAGGGTGCCTGGTGTAGGGAAGGCAGTGTTTGCTGAGACGGTGCTGAGAGGAGGTACATTCCAGACTATGGAGTAGGTGGGGTGTGGGAATTTTTGAGGAAAAAGATGAAGCTGGGGTTATACTTGGGCCTGCCTGTCAGGGTCGGCACCATCGTGAGGATTTGGGTTTTCTCTCAAGAACAGTGAACAGCTGTGGCAGGATTTTCCAGGGAGAAGTGGCCCAGGTCAGACTGGCATTTTGGAAATCCTGTTTGACCTCAGTGTGGAGAAGCCACAGACAGGGCAAGACAAGAGAGGAGGTGCCATTCCAAGACGGTGGTCTGCTTGGCAGCCCAGGTGGGGAAGGCAGGAAGTAAAGTGAGTTGAGAGGTTTCAGAAGTGGAGTTGCTGAGATGTGGGGATTGTCTGGAAGGGGGATGCCCACCTAGGTTTCCAGTTTGCACAGGAGCGTACCTAGATGGTAGGCTTTTCTCTCAGTGGGCACAGTGCTGAGCTGGGAGGAGAATTCTTGAGTGCAGCGTTGGATACAGTGAGTTGGAATGGAGAAATCCAGGATACCCAAGAAGGCAAATGGTCTCATGGTTTTTTTTTTTTTTTTTT